AACAATAGAAGACAGTTGGCAGTTTTTCAAAAAGTAATTATTCAGGGCACAAGAGCAAACTATCCCACTGCATAGGAAAGATAGGAAGTCTGGCAAGAGACCAGCCTGGCTTTACCAGGAGATCTTGGATGATCTAAAACTCAAAAAAGAGCCCTACAAAAAGTGGAAACTCAGTCAAATTACAAAGGATGAATATAAACAACTAACACAAGTCTGTAGGGACAAAATTAGAAAGGCCAAGGCACAAAACGAGATCAAACTAGCTAGAGACATAAAGGGTAACAAGAAAACATTCTACAAGTACATTAGAAGCAAGAGGAAGACCAAGGACAGAGTAGGGCCGTTACTCAACGAGGGGGGAAAGACAACACAAAATGTAGAAATGGCAGAGGTGCTTAATGACGTCTTTGTTTTGATTTTCACCAAGAAGGTTGGTGGTGATTGGACGTCTACCATAGTGAATGCCAGTGAAAATGAGGTAGGAGGGGGAGGTGTGCGGGGCTGGCAGATGGGGTTGGGGGAGAGACCCAGCCCTGAACTTTGGTGGAGCCGGGCCCCCGTGCTCTCATATTGGTGGAGTATGGGCACCATGGGCCCATACATCTCGCCGCCCCTGTGGGTGAGGGAATATCCTTATGGGACCAGCTTCTGGGTGGAAGAAACACAACCTTGCAACCTTCCAAACTTTTCTCCTCCCTTGGTGTTCACACCTCAAGTGCTAGAAGAGGGCCTCACCCTCCCTGATTGAACTAACCTTGTTATCTCCAGATTGATTCTTGCCTGCCTATTTATACCTGTCTCTGGAAATTTCCATGACATGCGTCTGACGAAGTGGATATTCACCCATGAAAGCTTATGTTCCAATACATCTGTGAGTCTATAAGGTGCCACAGAACTCTTTGTCGCTTTTTACAGATCCAGACTAACACGGCGACCCCTCAGATACTAAACTTCACAGAGTTCTTCTTCAGGTCAGGTACCAAAAAATCATTGGTAGAACCCTTAAGAAAAGGATTTTTTGGGGAGGGGGAAGAGGGGGAAGACTGGATCTTGGGAATCCCTTGCTTAAATGACCCCAAATTTGGACCAGTAACCCTAGCCAGTACCCCCATTAGGCAAACCGTGGTTCAAGGCAGTCTAATTAACGATGCAGATTTTAGAGCACTTAGAAGATACCGAAAGCTGGTCTAAACCTTAACTCTAACAGGGCTGCTGGCCCACTATAATAGGAGGAAGGACCAAGAGAACGTGCCCTTGTTTTGTTTGTGTTCTCCAGGGCGTTGGCTGGCTCACGGGAGCTGGGAATGCAAAATATTGCCATCGATACTTGAAACTGACAGGTCAGCAAAGTACGGAAAATGCTGCTTCAGAGCTGATTAGAATTTGATTTAAGGTCAAAGTTTCGACCCATGACGTTGACAGTTTGTGTTTTAACAGCTACCAAGTTTCAAGTTTCTGAGTCTCAATGTCTACTGCCATTGTTGTCTGACCTTCCCTGGCTTCCCGCAACTGTGAAAGTGTAAATCGATAAACATGCTTAAAGCCCATAATTTTGCACAACTGAGAAAACTGAAATCAAAACAAATAAAATAAATCCCGAAAAACAAACATTGCTATAAAATAAAAATAAACATTCTGCCAAGCCTAGATCTGGGTCTTTCTTCTCCACAGCGCTGGTTCCAGTCCAGCTCCGGGTTTTAAATCTCTGGGAGATTAAACAGCCCAAACCAGCGGTTGTATTTTTATGTGCGTTCTGTGGGGGGGTCAGAGATTTCTGACGTCCCTAATGCCTCGTTTTCGGGCCTTGTAAATGACAGGAACAGCCTTTGGGTTTGTGGAGAGGAATGCGGGGTCCGAAATCTCAGTTATGCTTCGTCTCACCACTGGGGCAACACGAAGGGGATTTAGTGTAACTGAGAATCTCCCTAGTCCTTCCCCAGGCCCTATAATTCCCCTCAGAGCTCCACAACTCTGTTTGCCCCACCCGGCCCCTCAGGCGCACTCCAGGGCTCCTCATCATTCCCCTTGTGCCCCCTTTCCCGCCCCTCAACGCCCTCCCCTCCCCAGATACCTCAGAGGTTCCTCCGCCTTGCAGCCACAGCAGCTCCCGGCTTTCTTCTGAGGAGGCAGGAGCAAAGTGCAGGGGTTTTGTTGTCGGGGTCACACTCCACCTGGCAATTAGTCACCAACATTGAAGAAGCCAGGCCAGTGCCTCACCTTTGCATAAACATACAGAGAAGTTACCTGCAGCAGGAGGTGAACGCAGTAAGAGAACGGGGGATGTGACTGCTCGGATTCCACCTCACCTTGTTGATAAAAACTCCACCCAAACTCCCCTCAGCAACTTCTGTGCTCTCTCCTTGCACCCAGAGCCTCCAGGTAACCAGGCCAGCTGCCCCATGAGCATCCCTTTGTGGGTGAAGTGGCACCGCAGCACCCTGCCTCAGTTTCCCTTCTTCTAGGCTCCTCACCCAATGCCACACACAGGAGTTTCTCCATTCAAACACCCCTCCTCATTGTGAAGAGTCCCAGGCAGGAGCCCCCTGCTCTGCGAAGCCCCGGCCACAGCTTCCCCTCTGGCTCTTGAACAAGGGGTACTGTCTCCTTGAACAAGGGGTACTGTCATTTTACAGAGCGTGAGGGCCTGGCTTCCAACCCACCATCATTCTTTCCCTTACTTCTAACCCTGACCTGCTCCCGGGGAGGGGTGCAAATTGCCTCACGTAAAAACAATCCATCCCCCACCTGCCCCAAATCATCCCCCTATGTCACTGCCCCTTTTACTGTCCCAGACCCCTCCTGCCCATCCCTGTATGGAAGTTGCCTGCAGCTGGAGGTGAACGCAGTAAGAGAACGGGGGATGTGACTGCTCGGACATTCACCTCGCCTTGCTGACAAAACCACCATCAAAACTCCCCTCAGCAACTTCTGTGCTCTCTCCTTGCACCCAGAGCCTCCAGGTAACCAGACCAGCTGCCCGCTGAGTGTCCCCTTGTGGGCATAGCAGCTCCACAGCACGCTGCCTCAGTTTCCCTTCTTCCGGGCTCCTCACCCAATGCCACACACAGGAGTTTCTCCATTCAAACACCCCTCCTCAGAGTGAAGCATCCCGGGCAGGAGCCCCCTGCTCTGCGAAGCCCCGGCCACAGCTTCCCCTCTGGCTCTTCATAGAGTCTCCTTCAACAAGGAGCGTGTGGACCTGGCTTCCAACCCACGGTCATTCCTTACCTTACTTCTAACCCTGACCTGCTCCCGGGGAGGGGTGCAAATTGACACTCATAAAAACAATCAATCCCCCACCTGCCCCAAATCATCCGCCCATGTCACTGCCCCTTTTACTGTCCCAGACCCTTCCTGCCCATCCCTCTTCCCCCCAGCCCCTAGTTTCTTACCCCTCCCATCCTGCCTGTCTCTCTCTGGACTCTGTTGTCCCCCTGATCCTGGCTCCATTCCCTTTTCCGCCCCGACAAGAGCTGGGCCCCATGGACACCAGCTTCAGCTGGAAAACTAGCCAGTAACAGACCCACCCCCCTGGTGGCCTGGATCCCAGACCAGACTGTGAGCTGCCCTCTGGGCCATCTCACTAGGGCAGTGCAGACCTGCTGATGAGTGGTGATGAAGCTCCCGTTGTGTTAATTAATTAAGGCCTGGTCTACACAGCAAAGTTAGGTCAAAGTAAGCCGCCTTACGTCAACCTAAAAATGTCTGCATCTACAGTACGAGGTCCCTTCGGCCAACCTAACCCACCTGTAGCGTTGACTTAATTACGTAATGAATTCGATGTTGATGGGTCGACAGACAGGCAGTGTAGACCCAGTGTTGTGTACGTTGACTGAATTGGCCTCCTGGCGGTGTCCCACAATGTTCCGCTGTGACCGCTACGGAGATCGTTTACAGCTCCGCTGCACGGCAGCCAAGTACACGGGCAACAGCCCCTTCCCGGTTAAAGCCCTGGGAACGTTTGAATTCCCATTTCCTGCGTGATCAGCGTGGCGAGCTCGCCGAGCATGGTGACTCAACGCTCCAAACGCGCCCCAGCCTGGAGTACACAGCAGGTGATGGATCTTATTGCTGTGTGGGGAGTAGAGTCTCTGCAGGCAGAGCTCCCATCCAGCCGAAGAAACGTCGACATCTACGCAAAGATTGCGTGGGGCAAGGGGGAGACAGGCTACCCCCGGGACACACAGCAGTGCCGCGTGAAAACCAAAGCACTTCAGCAGGCAGGGGTACCAGAAGACAAGGGAGGCGAACAGCCGTTCTGGTTCTACAATGAGCTACATGCGATTCTCAGTGGCGACCCCACCACTGCCCCAAAATGCAGCACGGATACCTCCCCGGAGTCCCAGGCCACCTCAGGCAACAACGAGGAGGACACTTGGACAAAGAGCAGCAGGAGGAGAATGGAAGGCAGGCGAGCAGGGGATCCATTGTTCCTGAGAGCAAGAAGCTATTTTTAACCCCGGAGCAGTCCAGCCATTCCCAGAACAGCATCGTGGTCAGGTGTGATGCCGGGGAAGGCACCTCTGGTGAGGATGCAATTCCAATGAAACTATAGGGGTTACGTGCTCTTATATTTTGTTTAATATGAAAGAAAAGTGAGGTGCAGTGGGTATCTGAGTCCCGGTGGCCACCCTAGCTACACAGAGGGTTCTCCCGCCAAAAGGCTGTTTATGTGCACAGGGATGGCCCAGGAATCCTCCATGGAGAGCTCTAGGAAACTTTCATGGAGGTTCTCCGCAATCCTTTCCAGAAGGTTTCTGGGGAGGGCTGCCTTATCGGGAACACCCACAACCAGCCTTTCAGGTGCAGCAATGGAGGAGCCAGATGCGCTGATGGGCCATTAAAGGGAATTCACACTCCCAAGGACTTCAGCTACCCTGCTGAAGGACTTCCAAAAACTCCATTAGGTGCCTTTCTGCATCCTCGGGCACCTAAATCCCTTTGAAAATCCAGCCCTTAGCTCTTAAGGCACTTTTGAAATGTTTACTCCTGGTTCTTGTTTATTTGGATATTATTCAATTCCCATATGGGGGGAGGGATAGCTCAATGGTTTGAGCATTGCCCTGCTAAACCCAGGGTTATGAGTTCAATCCTTGAAAGGGCCACTCAGGGGTCTGAGGCAAAAATCTGTCTGGGGATTGGTCCTGTTTTGCACAGCGGGTTGGACTAGATGACCTCCTGAGGTCCCTTCCATCCCTGATATTCTATGTATTATTTACAGAGCAAACAGCTTCATCTCACCCTGCCAGTATCTAAAAGTAAAACCAATAGACTCCCAAAGGAGGGACAAAATAATACATCAGCAGCTCATAAATGTGTGAGCTAACACCACTTGCTCGCACTGTGACTGCAGGTTTTTGTGTTTTGAAATGCAAATACAATAAAAAAATGAAGAGACACTCTGCATGTGTGTTGGGGGAGGGAGCAGAATGGAGACACATTAGGGTCCAAAAAAAGGAACATCCCTTATCAAAGAAGCTGCGAATCACCCATGAGTTCTGCGCCTTTCCATGATGAGAAGGAATAGGAAGCCCCGAGTTTAGCCATCCAAGTCCCGTGTGTTTATGTCATCTGGCAGCCTGCAGAGGGCAGTATTAGCTCTGAACACATGTTCCCACCCATTTCCCCTTCCAGAACAAACAGGAAACCCAAACTCAGCAGCTGGCAAACATACAGAAAGCAGTAACACTTTAACTGCTAGAGGTGCTCAAATAGGTCTGTTCAGCCCCCTCTGCCCCCCTGCAGCACAGCCCCCCCCCCCCGCGGTGCCTCCCTGGGTCATTGGGGCCTGTCCTGACAGCCAGGGGAGAGCCCCCCACCCCACCCCCTGCAGCACAGCGCCCCCTAGCCCCACCCTGGTTCATTGCACTGACTGCAAGGGGAGAGCACCCCCCTCCCCAAAACCCTGGGGCATTAGGACCAGCCCTACCTGCCACAGGAGAGCGCCCCCCACAGCACAGCGCCTCTAGTGTTGCCCTGGTTCATTGCACTGACTGCAAGGGGAGAGCGTCCCCTACTGAGTCACCTACCCCACACCCTGGAGCCACCTTAAATTTTCTGGTGTCCCACCCAAGCACCGAGTGCTGCCAACCCTGCTGGTCTTGAGTATCTGAGATCAAGGCTGCTGTGTGCCGGGAAACCTTTTGGAACATCTGGGCAAGGATTTTACAGGGATGAAACAGAGCTGAAGTGATTTAACTTCAGGTTTCTTTGTTTAAACGATGTAACTGATTGAGTGTAAACCCTTGCATGGACCCTCTCAAAGCATTTAAGAAGCAATTGAAATGCATCAGCTGAAGACGTGTAACTTCTCTGTGTGTAGACAAGGCCTCGAGGGTCCAGTCCTGAATCCATAAAGCGCCATCCGCAAACATTAGGGCTTCATCACTTTGTGGCGTTCAGGACGCACGTTCCAGGGCTGTGCCTCCTTTAGCTAAACTAGTCCAGTGCTGCTGCGTGAATTTTGTGCTGTTTCAATAAACGGTTGCCTGTTTACTTTCACTTTCCCTGTTCCTCAGAGGCTGCCCTTGTCGGGGGGAGAGATGGGGCGGGTGCCGGTGGAACAAACAGGGATTATTCCATTTCTCCCAGCACCCCGAGAAGATCGGAGGGTTTGATGCCTTTGGGGTGGAAGGTAAGAGATTCCCCTCCCAGGTGGGGCTGTTTTGTTGCTGGGATTTTCTCCAAAATATGTTTCTACGGCCTGCTAAGGCACCTCAAACATGGCTGCTAAACCCTGAACTGCACGTTAATGGCTCTACACAGAACCGATCTCTGCTGCTCTAACGGGGTCATGGCTGTAACAGCTTCACGTGGCCTGTGGATTTAGTCAGGGGGACCCCGACCTTTGGGGGATGATGATGCCTAGCAACATGTGGAGATGGGGGAAGACTTTTGTGGCTCAGTGGAAGGGAGGGGGAGAAGCCCCGAATCCCCAGTATGTATCTAAACCAGTGGTCCCCAAACTTTTCAGGGTCAGATCCCCCACTTACCCCTGTCTGCCGCCCCTCGCCCCAAGCCAGGGCTGGGAACATGGCCACACTTCCGGGGTTGGGGGTGGATGTGGAAGGGGTGAGGGGGCCGAGGCTGGTGCTGGGAGCAGGGCCGCAGCCAGGGGCTGAGGCGGGGGGTGGGCCTGAAGCTGAGATGGGGGCAGAGCAGGGCTGGGTGTCGCTTCCTCCATGCTCCTGTGGGGGCTGGCCCTGGCCCACCATGCCCCCCCCAAAGATTCCTCCGTGCCCCACAGTTTGGGGACCTCTGGTACTTACACCTTTGCGTGGCTGTTTAAACATGGCCCACACTCAGAATTACACCCTCGCAAGTGTAGACTCGATAGCAAAGTCCATGTAGCAAAATCCAAATCCGGATTCTCCTTGCACCCGTGCTCCTCATTTACCCTGGTGCAAACTAAGTGTAAAAACGTCAACAGATCAGAATGGTAGTGCTGGATTCTCAAAGGGCACTTCACACTGGTTTGGTCGTATAAATGGGAGTAAATGTAATTCACATTCGCTGTAAGACCCCAGGAGGCAGTAGCTACGTCAACGGGAGAAGCCCGGCCTAGCGCTGTCTACACCAGGGGTTCAGTCGGTGTAACTGCGTGGCTCAGGGGGGTGGATGTTTCACCCCCCTGAGCGAGGTGATTATATCACTGTATGTTCGTAGCGTAGACCTGGCTTCAGTCTCTATTAGTTTCTCTAGGTTTGTAGAGACATTTCACTAGGGCCCTGCTGGGCCAAGCTGAGAATCGGTTTGTCAGCGTCAAACTGGCTGGATCCTGCCCCGAATGCCTTTCAGAGCATGTTGCTCCTTCTCTTGCAGATGTCCGACAAGCCTGCAGCGTAATGGGAACCGGCCCCGCATTGTCACTTCACTCGCTCGCTCTGTGGACCCTCTACAGTAAGTCCCCAGTTCGGTACAGTTCTGATTGGAACGACGCAGGCTTGGACACGTGCGCCTCGGTCCTGTGATCACACCCGTGGAGGGGCACAGTCCCAGATCCCACGCACATCACACTCACAGATCTCCCACACTGCTCCAGCTAATCCCTCCACCGTTCAATACAGCTACACCCCACCCTTTGAAGGCAACTAGTGTGCACACCGATCATTCTCTTGCCATGTCAACTCCAGGGGCCAGAGTTAAGGTTAAATGGGTGTTGACCTTAACTCAGTATTTCCTGGTTTTCAGAAGCCTGAGTTTTGTTGAACTCGACATTCTGGTAAGGCAGGAGCTATCACCAGGCAGCCTTAACTCTGCATTAACCAGGGTGACCACGCGTCCCACTTTGGCCAAGGGAGTCCCATTTTTAAGTCCTGTCCTGGCTCAGCTGGCAAGAGCAAACTGGACAAATGCACAGTTGTATCAAAAAAGTGGGGCGCGAACCCTAGCAGGGCATGGAGGAACCTGTGGGGAGGGGAGACAAGTGGCAACGCCAGCCCTGCATGGGAGGGAGGGCTCAGGAGAGCGGCTGGGGCCCAGCCAGCCCAGCCCCACGTGGGCAGGTGACAGGGGGTTCTGGGCCAGCCCCGCGTGCAGGGGTTTGAGGGAGGCCTGAGGCTGGCCCCACGTGGGTGGGCGGCGGGGGGCCATGGGCCAGCCCCATGCAGTGTCCCGTTTTCCCTTTGGGAAAATATGGCCACACTAGCATTAACAAAAAGTTTTGCCGTTTGTCCCGTCTGGATTTGGAGACATTTTACCGCTGGCCTGGAGCTGTGACTGTTTTTCTCCCCCTGCTCCTGTACTCCCCCCTTCCAAATGATGTTGGTCCCGGTAACATGCTGCCCTTGTCACGCTCTGGGAGAAACATTCATGCCAGTGTACGAGGCACTGGGGAGACCTCATCTGGAAAACTGTGTCCAATTCTGCTCAGGGAAGATGAATCCGGCCTGGGCCAGGTGCAGAGAAGGGCTGCTAGGATGATCAGAGGAATGGAGAACTGATCTTATGAGAGGAGACTGGAAAAGCTTGGCTTGTTTAACCTAGCAAAAGCAGGCCAGGAAATGAGTTTCTCTGGCCTATGTTGTGCAGATGGTCATAATGGTCCATTCTGGCTTTAACATCTACGCTTCCGGTTCTTGGTTCCCCCGAGTCCCACACTGGCCCTGTAATTTTCACCCATTTTCAGATCTCTTCATGCAGTCAGAGGGGCACAAAGCAGCTTCTGTGTCAATTAGGGCCGAAAAATGTACGGGCGGAGAGAGACTGGTTCTGAAAGTGAAAGATGTTCTGTTGACAGCATACAAATAGAGAAGTTAGAAACAAACATCAAATCCATTTACGGGAAGATTGTGACATAACACAAACTTATTTCTTAGGCTCCAGAACCCTAACACAGAAGAACCAAATCCAGAGAGAGACAAAGCAGGCTGCTCCTAAGGCGGAGAGGCGTAACTCAACCCACCTTACTCTAGGCTGGCTCTTTGCAGACTGACTGATGATCGCACACTTCCCTGCAGACCCCCAGCTTTTGATTAGGACCTGGAAACCTCTTACCTGTTAAAGAGATAGCTTGTCATTTTAACACTCTAATACTGACCCTCGCTTTCCTTTCAGGGGTGATCATGTCACAGTCATCCATCACAGCTCAGTGCGGCGAGGATGTCACCCTGAGCTGCACCTTTCCCACACTCGGCTTGGCAGCAAATCAACAAGTGAACGTCACCTGGAAGAAGCCAAGAGCCGATGGACCAGATCTGCTGGTCCACAGCTACTCTTTGGGAATGGAGAAACAATCTGAGGCTTACAGGGGGCGGACGCAGCTGGATCCAGAAGGATTCGCCAAAGGGGACGCGTCCCTGAGACTGAGGGATGTTCACATTCAGGACGAGGGGTCTTATAGCTGCTTCGTCAACTCTGAGCTGGGCCCGCGGTCTGAGGAGACATCGCTGACAGTGCTGAGTATGACACCTCCTACAATGGGCTTTGCTGGCCTCTGAGGCTACAGCTGGTCGAAAAGATGCCGTTCAAACGTTTGTTGGGAGGAAAACAGCTTTTCAACTAAATGCAAATTGTCACACACACACACCAATTTTTTTTTTCCATTTTTTGTTGCTTAATTCCCATAGAAGTCGAGGGAGTTAGGCACGTAGAGGGATTCTCAAAAGCACCTCTCTGCATCTGTAGGCACCTGAATCCCTTTGGAAATCCCCTCATGCCGTCTTGATGCATCCATGGCTTTGATACCAAAGCTTCTCTGACACCCTCCATCACTAGCTCCAGTATTAACCACCATCTCACCTTCTGCTAATCCACTCAGGTTTTGCAGTTACAGATTTTGGGGTGAAATGGAAAACGGGGGCAGGCTGTGTTGTGGGTACTTTTTAGACTACAGCGTATGCATGTCATGAGTGCATGGGCCACTGCTTGATGTTTGAAAAACTCAACAAAAAATATTGATTTTTCTCTTTAAGGGGCAAGACAACGAGAGTCGCCCATTGTAGTTCAGGAAGGGGAGGACATCACTCTCAGCTGCTCCTTCGAACCTGAGCGAAACCTGCAGCTGTTGAACATCACCTGGAAGAAGGAAACAGCGGAGGGACGGGATCTCCTGGTTCACACGTACTATAAGGGGAGGGACCAGAGGCTGAGACAGAATAAGGCTTACCGGGGCCGGACCCAGCTGTATCCGGAGAGATTCCACGAGGGAATTGCGTCCCTGAGACTCAAGAACGTCCAGCTGGCGGATGACGGGGTCTACACCTGCCACGTCAAGCCCCAACTGGGCACATTTTCCGTGCGGATGAGAGTGACCGTGGAGAAGGGTAGGGCTCCTCTCACAGGGCACCGCACGAGTCCCAGGGTCCGGGCAGCTGGGCCGCTAGGAACAGCTCCACGCGGCGGTGGGTTCTCACATCACCGTAACCCACTGGGGAGCAGAGCTGGATGGCTCAGCGAGATGGTAGATGGGAGCCCAGGTGATCGCTGGTGAATCTCAGTGGTAGCAAAGGGGAAGGGGTGAGAGGGGCCAAGCACAGGCAAATAGGGTTGCCAACGGTCTTGTTTTTATCCAGGCAGTCTTGTTTTTGGCTTCTCTGTCTGGGTGGTTTTCTGGGACCTGGCAACCCTCAATGGCACCCAAACCAAAAGTCCGGTTACCACGGGGTGGACGGAGGCACTGGGTCATTACCCCGCACCAGCCCCTGCTCGACCAAGGCCACCTCCTACCTGCTGGCAGGTCCCATGAGACGATCCAGTGAGAGATGTGGGGAGAGGAGCAAGCAATGGGGTGGGGCCTTGGGAAGAGATGAAGAAGGGGGCGTGGTCTCCTCGCGGGTCTGGTTACCAGCAATTAGAAAGGAGGGAACCCTACAGGCAAATGGGAGGAGAGGTATGATCTCTCTGTGCAGCTCTGACAATATTTGAGATCCCCTGGGCTCGTGGCAGTGGGAAAGGTGTCTGCAATTCCCAGCACCTCTTGGGGGGGAGAGCGGGGGTTTCCTGGGACCCTGCTGCGCTCACAGAAGCATTCTGGGTTTTGTGGATTTTTCTTCCCCTCCCACATTTCTTACAGGTGCCAGGTGTGTCTGGTTCTATTGGGCACCTCTTCCTCTTCTACTTCTTCCTCTTTCCCTGTTGGTAATGCTTATCATCATTAAAATGCGTCGTCTTCCCGGCCGATGGAAACTGAGGCCATCCAAACACGCCTTTGGATTGGAGGCTGACTATGAGGAGGGAAGAGCGCAGGCCGGAAGCCTATTTCTTGTGGGACTTAAGAGTGGATGATACCAAACAGACTCTAGAGTCCCGGCAGGTGAGTTTCAAAACATTTCTCTCTCCTTGGCGCATCTGTGGGGAGGCGTCTTCATTACAGATGTGGGGAGGGTTTACGCTGCTTTGAGCATTTTTCTTTTGCCTGTTTGAAATCCCTCTGTTTAATTACATTTGCACTCAGCGATCTCCAGACACGAAGAAAAAAAAATTCCTTGCCTCCCCTTCTCCACCAGAATTTTTAAGGCTGATTGTTTTCTGGCACCGAATGTCAGGGTGCAGGTACCCGGCCCATGGATGGACTGTGAGGAGTTTATAATTGCTCAGAAATGCATAGATTCCAGCCAGAAGAGACCACTCTGATCATCTGGTCTGACCTCCTGGATAACACAGACCAGAGAACTGCCCCAATCAGATCCTTTAGAAAAACATCCAGTCTTGATTTTAAAATTGCCAGTGATGGAGAATTCATCACAACCCCTGGTAATTTGTTCCAATGATTAATTACTCTCACAGTTAAACCTTATTTCCAGTCTGAGTTTGTCTAGCTTCAACTTCCTTTTTCTGCTCGACTGAAGAGCCCTTTGTTATCAATTTTCTATTTCCCATGTAGGTATTTATTCCCCATGTAAGTGATCTTCTTCTTACTGTCTTAATTCTGGAGGCCATATATTTCTCTTTTTGTCCATTTGCTTCCCTCATCAATTTTCTACAATGCCTAGCTTAACATAAGAACATAAGAATGGCCATATTGGGTCAGACCGAAGGTCCATCCAGCCCAGTATCCTGTTTGCCAACAGTGGCCAATGCCAAGTGCCCCAGAGGGAGTGAACCTAACAGGTAATGATCAAGTGATCTCTCTCCTGTCATCCATATCCACCCTCTGACAAACAGAGGCTAGGGACACCATTCCTTACCCATCCTGGCTAATAGCCATTAATGGACTTAATCTCCATGAATTTATCTAGTTCTCTTTTAAACCCTGTTATAGTCCTAGCCTTCACAACCTCCTCAGGCAAGGAGTTCCACAGGTTGACTGTGCGCTGTGTGAAGAAGAACTTCCTTTTATTTGTTTTAAACCTGCTGCCCATTAATTTCATTTGGTGGCCCCTAGTTCTTGTATTATGGGAACAAGTAAATAAAGTTTCCTTATTCACTTTCTCCACACCACTCATGATTTTATATACCTCTGTCATAACCCCCCCTTACTCTCCTCTTTTCCAAGCTGAAGAGTCCTAGCCTCTTTAATCTCTCCTCATATGGGACCCGTTCCAAACCCCTAATCATTTTAGTTGCCCTTTTCTGAAC